GGTTGAGCGTCGACCCTGCACCAAGAGGTGGCTGGTTCGATTCCCGGTCAGGACACTTGCCCAGGTCGTGGGCCCAGTCCCCAGGGCGGGGGGGTGGGGGGGTGCAGGAGGCGGCCGGTCGATGTTCTCTCATTGATGTTTGCATCTCTCTCTCCCTCTCCTTTCCTCTCTCTCTAAAATCAATAAAGAAAAAATATTTTTTAAAGTACTGAGATAAATATACAGCATTGTTTGCACACAGGCAGATGGACTGTGTGCCTGGGAAGCTAGCTTCTCTCAGATGTAACCCTCTCTTCCATTTGTAAATTTGAGCAAGTTCAGTGGTCCATCTGCCCAGAGCTGGTAAGTCCACATTCCTGTCCTTCCCTCTGCTGCCTGCGAGGCAGCCCTGGGTTGTCACAGCCCCTTGCCTGCAGGCCTGAGCGCTCGCAGAGTTCTCGTCCACGAGTGTTCCCAGCAGCCACCATCCATCAGTCAGAACTGACATACATCATACGTGCTTGACCTCTCAGCTTCTGGGCTCACATACTTTCAGGGGAGCATTGCCCCGCAGTCTCACCCCGACTCTGCGTTGCTGCGAGTGTGTCCGCGGGTGTCACCCCGACTCTGCATTGCTGCGAGCGTGTCCGCGGGTGTCACCCCGACTCTGCATTGCTGCGAGTGTGTCCGTGGGTGTCGCCCCGACTCTGCACTGCTGCAGTGTGTCCGTGGGTGTCACCCTGACTCTGCATTGCTGCAGTGTGTCCGCGGGTGTCACCCTGACTCTGCATTGCTGCGAGTGTGTCCGTGGGTGTCGCCCCGACTCTGCACTGCTGCAGTGTGTCCGTGGGTGTCACCCCGACTCTGCACTGCTGCACTGTGTGCGCGGGTGTCGCCCCGACTCTGCACTGCTGCAGTGTGTCCGTGGGTGTCACCCTGACTCTGCATTGCTGCAGTGTGTCCGCGGGTGTCACCCTGACTCTGCATTGCTGCAGTGTGTGCGCGGGTGTCACCCCGACTCTGCATTGCTCCAGTGTGCGCGGGTCGACGGGGCGTGGCGGCCCCGGGGGGAGCAGCCCTTGGCGCCGGCGGCACTCTGCTCTCACAGGCAGCCACCTGGGGAAGGGCTCTGCCCTCGGAGGGCCTGCTCATGGTCAGGGGACAGAGCATCTTTTTGTTTCCATCACAGTCGACACTCAGTCTCACTCTGTACTGCGCTCAGGTGTGCAGCATAGTGGTTAGACAGCCACGCACTTTACAGGGGTCCCCTGATGTTTCCCCTGCCCACCCGGCCCCACGCAGTTATTGCAATAGTGCTGACTCTGTCCCAGGGACTTCTGCAACTGCCCTCTTGGCCACTGAGTCGTGCCGAGTCTTCCCGGGGTGAATGGGGACACAGTGCCCGTGCTGGCCGGGGCGTCTCTGCCCTGACTTCTCCCCGCGCCTCGATCCCCCAGCCGGAGCTCACGGAGGCCGGGGCTCCTTTCACTGTTGTTTTGTTTTTTGTTTTTCTTTCAATAAAGATTTTAGAGAGAGAGGAAGGGAGAGGGAGAGAGAGATAGAAACATCGATAAGAGAACATCGATTGGCCGCCTCCTGCATGCCCCCCACTGGGATTGGGCCCACAACCTGGGCATGTGCCCTGACCGGGAATCGAACCAGCGACCTCTTGGTGCAGGGTCAATGCTCAACCACTGAGCCACACCGGCCAGAGAGTCAGGAGACAGATTCTGAATTTCCATGGGTGTTGAAGAATTTATGTGGGAACAGTCTGTTCATATTACATGAGGAAGACACTTGTTTTAATCTTTTGGCAATCGATGGATTTTTAAGATCACTGATAGAATCGCGTTATGTTTTAATATGCAAATGTTCAGTGAAGGAAGGTGCCTGAGAGTCACGCGTGCTTATCTGGGATCAAAGAGATCTTTAGCTCACCGGAGCCACTCGCCTGGGGAAACGTCTGTTTACGTCAGAAGGCCTTGGGGTGACGGAGGTGTCACCTGGACGTGTTCACTGTAAATGGGTGACGATGAGAGGCCACCTGGAACGGGTCAGAACGGGCCCCAGGCCCCTCAGGAAGCCCGGGCTCTCCGTGCAGCAGCGGGTGAGAGTGCTCGCTGTGAGCGAAGGTTTGGCGAGGCGTTAATGCCATGACCGGCGTCCGGGACAGAGGGTCCTGGGGCAGCCTGCTGCTTGGAGGAAGCAGCGCCAATGGCCGGTCACGGAGGGATGACCCACCGCCCGCGTGGGAGCTGACGGGCATGTGGACTGTGGCGGCGGAGCTGAGGCGTGGCCGGAACGAAGAGGACTTGCTGTTGTCGGCAGGCGGGACTGAGAAACCGTGTCCTCCTCCCAGCCCATCACCTGAGTGGCGAGCGACACCGCCGGGCCCGGGGAAAGAGGGACACGAGAGAGGGCAGCAAGGACTCCAGTCTGGGACACGCTGAGGCACAGGCGCCGACAAGAGGGGCGGTGCTGGGCAGACGCAGCTGTGCATCCAAACGGGGTGATGCCAGAGGTGGACATCGGGGACGTCTGGGCGGTGGACAGCGTCGGACATCGGACAGGTCCTCGGGAGAACTGAGAAAGGGTGAGGGGAGGACTTGCGGCAATGCCATCGAGGGCGCACCCGAACAAGCGGCAGCCTCGAGGGGTCGTGGCCCACCCTGAGACTGGCCTGCGCACCTGGGGCCAGGCGCCTGGAGGCAGCGTCACCTCCTTCAGCTGGGACCTTGGGCAGGACACCTGGCCTCTCCGGGTATCAGTGTCCTCACCTGTAAAATGAGATCCGCCTCAGGGGGTACCAGGATGCTGAAATAAATCCTTGTGTATAAAGCATCGTGAATATGGCCTGGCCCTCAGTAGCAGCGTCATGTTTTGCTGTAGTAAAATGCAGCTCCGGAAGCTGTTAGAGAAGCTCAGAGAGAAGTCGCTCCTGCACGGGGAAGCGAGGAGGACTCGGCAGGCATGTAGAAATGGGAGGCTGAGGACCAGGGCAAAGCGAAACCAAACGTGTTGGGCAATAAGGAGACACATTTCCTGCAATACAGTGGATGGTAAGAGAGGCGATGGAGAACAACGCGAAAGCCCTGGCCAGGTGCCTGCGTTGGTTGGAGCTCGTCCTCTACACCAACAGGCTGTGGGTTCAGGTTCCGGTCAGGGCACATTCCTAGGTTGTGGGTGCCATCCCTGCTTCGGGTGCATGTGGGGAGCAACCAGTCGATGTTTCTCTTTCTGTTTCTCTCTCTCTTTCTTTCTATCTCCCCTCTCTCTCTCTCTAAAAAATTCAATGAACATACCCTCTGTGAGGGTTGAAAATAAAAAGCACATCATGGAAATCTTCATTCGTGAAGATCTTTCAGAGGACGACTGCAGGGGCAGGCACCCTCTGCTGGTCACTGAAGTGGTCAAGAAGGGGCTGATACACACGTAAATACTATATGTTCAAACAGGGCTTTTTGAGAACCTTAAGCACCGGGATTTACATGAAAACGTCTTCAATATTTGCCTACATTTAACCTGTAATCATCTGATAAGAAACTGATATGAAAATAAAGTGGCCCATATACACACCAACCGGTCTCCTTATTTATTAATTAGGAAATATTGAGAAGGGATACTTTTCTGATTGCCTTACCTTTTGCAAAGAATATATAGTACACCCTGGCCAATGTTGCCTAGTGGTTAGAGCGCCGCCCTGGGGACCAGAGAGTCACAGGTTCAATTCCCAGTCAAGGGCACGTGCCTGGGATGCAAGAGGCAACCCATCGATGCGTCTCTCTCACATCGACGTTTCTTTGGCTCTCTCTCCTCCCCACCCCGGCCTCCCTCCCACTCTATCTGAAAATCAATGAAAAAATGTCCTCGGGTGAGGATTAAAACCATCATCATCATCATCATCATCATCATCATGTACAGTTAATTGGTGAAAGAAGGAAATTTGCTGGATGCAATTCTAGCCTGTGTTCTGAGAACAGGAAGGCCCGGGATGCTTTTGTGTGTGTGTGTTTTACTAATTTTATTTTATGTATTTATTTTTATATTTGCCTCCTTATGTTTTTCCTGTATTTTATTATTTTTTCTGTCACCATGTATCCTCCATATGCCCACTGCCACCTCTCCTCACTCCCCCCCACACCCCGCAGTCACCGCACTGATGTCAGTGGTCAGGAGTTCTTTCTCTACTTTTTTTCTTTTTTTTTTAATTTGCTTTTTATTGCTTTTTTGGAGAGAGAGATGAAAACATTGATGTGGGAGAAATACATCAGTGGGCTGCCTCCTGCACACCCCCTGCTGGGGATTGAGCCGCAACCCGGGCACCTCTCAGTCCCTGGGACGCTCAACCCGTTGAGCGTCACCGGCCAGACCCTTTCTTTCTGTTTTCTCAGCTGCTCCACCCTAAATGTGTCTTAAGCAGCTTTTTCAGGGTGCCACAACCAAGCAGAGACGTCAGAATTAGATTCTCCCTTAATATGTGAGGAGCCACAAACAATTCTTGGCTCCCAGGAGACACGAGGGAGCAGGACACGCTCGTCTGTGTCCTGACTTCCTGTCTGGGTGGTGGTGTCGCAGGCAAGTGACCAGAAACATAAGGAAGTCACCGTCTTCGCGGTGGAAGATTTGCAGGAAGTAAATTATTTGACTAATATGCAACTAAATACATTGTAACTTTTTACTACTCCAACAATCACAAAGAGGTATATTAAAACTTGTACAAACAAATTACTGTAAAAAAAAACAGAAAAAATAGATAGAGAGAGCACAAATCAGAATTAGACTAACAACACTGTTCTCCTGCTTTGGTTCAATGCTGTCTTTTTTTTAGCTTCTCCATTAATATAGCTAGAGTCTGAATTAGTGCACACGAGGTGTTAATATATTATTTATAGCTTTTTACTGGTGCTGATTGCATGATTTTCATCCCAACAAGTATGACAATCCTGTTAGATTTACACAAAAGCAATTTTTAAGTGTAGAGCATATTGTTTTATTAAAATACACTTTTTCTATTTTTTCAGACTCGAGTCAAAGGAGCCTTTCCTGTCTGTTGGGTGAGTACATGTCTAAACATGAAATCTTAATATTTAATCAATGTTTAATTCAAATTGACAAGGTTCAGGTGGGATCAGGCCGTGGACCCCATGCTCGCAGCCCACACAGCACCGCACGCGTCATTTCTCAGCAGCTCTGCCGTCCGTGCTCCATGGAGACCTCAGTATAGTGCACCCCAAGCTGTTTTGTGACCTCAGAAATTCAGCTGATGAACATACATGAACTCCTGTATCCTCAGTGAACCCTGAACAGGGTAGACAGAAATGATCTATATTCTCGTCAAGTAAACATAGCTCAGGTTGGTTCTAAAAAATCCTCTGAATCACTGTTTCCGAATCTGGCCACCAATCTCTGCCCTTCTTTTCCGTCTCCTCTCCTCAGGCTTCTTCTGCCGTTGTCTCTGTCTCTCTCCAAAATCTCTACCTTTTCTGCCTTTTTCTCGTTTTACTTCTATTTCTGCACTCACACCGACGGCCTCTCTGGGCAGGCTGATGGTGTCGTCCTGAGTCAGGATACATGATCTAATAATAATATCCTGTGGACAAGAACGCGTACGATTCCCAGGCATTCAGAACTAATTAAGAATGAGCCAAGTTGTTTTGAACGGGTCTGTCCGATAACCCTTGACCACTATGTTAGAGTGTCCAGTTAAAGGACTCCGCATGCTCAGGTCACCGTCGGTGCCGTCACCCTTCAGAAAGTGTTGGAGATGTGCCGTCTGCCTTGCGGAAGTCATGCAGTATTAGATGAGAAGAAATCACGTCTCAGCGACCAGCGTAGTCATGCTCGATGACCAGAAACACGGATGGGGTTGGATTTTTGAGCGATCACAGCAATTCTTTTTCATGACTTTGTTTGTGGCCTTCAAATATTTCTGTCACCATTGAGCACCCTGGTTCCCTCCCCCTTCTGCTGCTCAGGAAAGCATCTCCGAAAGCCATTTGAACCACAGGGATCAAAACAATTGTCTGGGATGCTGGGGAAGAAGAATGGAGCAGGTGATTTATTGGAGGACTTCATGGGAAATGAAAGGTCTAGCTGATCTGGTCCAAAGAAATTGCTAGCACATGCTTCTTCCTTCACTGGCCATCAGCTGCTATTGTTAGAAGCGTCACCCCTGAAAAAGTCTTTTATGTGGAATGCACGCGTGTCCACCCTGCAGTCAGGGGCCGGGCCAGCTTCTCTTCATGCCTGGCTTAGCACGCCTTCTGAGCGCATCTCATCCTCACCGTTGAGAGGGGGAGTCACTTTTAATCCACACCCTCGAAATCTATGTTCCAAACTTAGCAGGAGTTTAAACTCAGTAGTAGAGCCCTGAGAACAAGTTTCCAAAGAAGAATGACATATAACTCAACAACTACGCAAAACGAGGAAGCTCACATGATAGATGGCGATATGACTTAGGTGTGGCTTAGGTATGATTTAGATGTGACTTAGTATGAATTAGGTATGACTTTGGTGTGACTCAGGTGTGACTCATGCATGACTTAGGTGTGGCTTAGGTATGATTTAGATATGACTTATGTATGATTTAGGTGTGACTCAGGTATGACTTACGTGTGACTCAGGTGTGGCTTATGTATGATTTAGATGTGACTTATGTATGACTTAGGTATGACTTAGGTGGACTTAGGTATGGCTGAGGTGTGACTCAGGTGTGACTCAGGTATGACTTAGGTATGGCTTAGGTATGATTTAGATATAACTTATGTATGATTTAGGTGTGACCGAGGTAAGACTGAGGTGTGACTCAGCTATGACTCAGGCATGACTGAGATATGTGCAGGCTGCTCTCACAGACATTCATGGTCTCTGGGATCTCTTCAGAAAACCTTTGAAGTCTAACTTCCCATCGCCTGTCAGTTTCGGAGGCGCAAGGTGGAGGAGACACGCTGGCCACCCCTGCCCTGGAGTCCAGCTGTGGGCAACCGGACAGGTCGAGAGGCCGCAGGCATGCGTGGAGTGGCCCGGTCACAGGAGCCCCCTGCCCGCGCTCAGGTGCCTGGAGCTCCTGGTGCTGACCCAGCCCTGAGCCTGTGTGTGGCTGTCCTCAATGTCAGGAGTTACATCATTACATAATAGAATTGAAACACTCAATGTGTAGTTTCATTAAATATTAATAAGTGTTTTATATTTCAAATTTTAAATATTTCTTGTATAGATGTATTATTTATATAGGTATTACATATATAATTTATTATAAATATATAATGTGAAATACTTTTATATAGATAAAGTAAGTGTAATTAGATTTACAAATTAAAACTTTTTCATCTCACCCATCTAACCGTAGGAGATACCAGCTAAGCCGCCTGGACTCCCGCACAGAGCTCGGGCTCACTGGCTGGGAGAGCATCAAGCGGCTGATACTCTCTGCTCATCCTCTAAGCATTACACTGAAAACATTCATTTTCTTTACTGACTTTGAGAGAGAGGAAGGGAGAGGGAGAGAGAGACAGAAACATCGATGAGAGAGAACATCGACTGGCCGCCTCCTGCATGCCCCCCACTGGGGATCAGCCCACAACCTGGGCACGTGCCCTGGCCGGGAATCGAACCGGGACCTCTTGGTGCAGGGTCCACGCTCAGCCACGGAGCACACGGGCCAGGCTGTAAACATTACGGTTAAATCAGTTCCAAAAACCTCCTAGAAACACCTCCTTGATGTGGCCTCAGACAGATTCTGATTTGGAAATGAGCAGGGGAAACAGGCATCAAGTTTGCATTGGATTCTAAGGTCCCAATCTTAGTGTAAAAGCAGCTTTGCCCTGAGGAAGCTTCTCACAGCCCTTTTAATGAACAGTACGGAGGAAGGGAGCAGGAGGTTTCTGTTCTTTTGATGTTTGAGAGTCACAGTGTAAAAGTACACCTTGGTCCCTGGCCAGTGTGCTCCGTGGTTAGAGTCGAAGGGTCACAGGTTGGATTCCTGACCAAGGACTTGTACCCGGGTTGTAGGTTCGATCCCTGGGCCCAGTCAGGGTGCAAGCAAGAGGCAACCAGTCGATGTGTCTCTCCTACATCAATGTTTCTCTCCCTCTTTCTCTCCCCTTCCCTCCCTCCCTTCCACTCTAAGAATCGATGGAAAAAATACCCTCTGGTGATGGTTAAACAAAACAAAGAACATGCTGGGATGGTCTATGAGTCCTCTTCAAGTACAAGTTGCAGACCCTGAGCCACTTTAAGAATATATTCAAGGTGCTAAATGAAAACTTCCTTGTGAATTACTTCCCTCTTCAGCCCAGAGCTGATGTTGTTAAAAGGAGACTTTGCACATTAATTGGTTCTATTGGAACTGAAACTGATTCACGCCAGTTTTTCAGTGGGTGCATTTCTGCCCGAGTGGCTTTTTCACGGGAATGATGATTTCTTGCATGGGTAAACACTCCTTTCAGACTTGTTCGCTGTGTAGAATTTAAATAACTCAGACTAATTTAAAAATTACATTGATATGGTTCAGAATATATTCTCTCTCCAGCTTGGCTGAGAGGCATTCGGAAACACATTCGGGTTACAAACCCAGTCATTTGGATCTCCGAGGAGGCGCGAGCTCGGAAGGGAGCTGGCCCTGGCCGGCCAAGCCCGTCTCCGGATCCTGAGACCTCTTCTCAGTCCAGACCAGAGGGCCTGGACACTGCGGACGTGTGATGGAATATCAATGAGCCCTTCAAAACAAAAAAGGAAATCCAGCCCGGCTGGTGTGGCTCAGTGGCTGAGCGTCGACCCTGCACCAAGAGGTTGCCGGTTTGATTCCCGGTCAGGACATATGCCCAGGGTGTGGGCCCATCCCCAGTGGGGGGCGTGCAGGAGGCGACCAGTCGATGTTCTCTCTCATCGATGTTTCCATCTCTCTCACCCTCTCCCTTCCTCTCTCTCAAATCAATAAAGAAAAAAATATTTTTAAAAAAGTATTAAAAACAAGGATGTCTGCCATGCGTGATGACCGGTGAATCTGGAGGACACTAGTGAATAAAGTAAGTCAGGCACCAGACACAGGAAGGCAGACGCTGCGTGAGCTCCCTGGGTGTGGGAGGTCGGCTAGCGAGCTGAGAAGCAGAGGTGAGGGGTCGCCGGGGACCTGGGGCGCTGGGAGACACTCGCAGGTACTCAGGATCGGCTACTGTGGAGCCTGGTGACTGTCGTTAGCAACACTATTGTGTACTTGAAATTTCCTTTTTTCTTCACTTATCTTTATTGTTGAATGTAGTACAGATTCCCTCCTTTTCCCCTGTGACTTAGGTATGACTTAGGTGTTCTCATTCCAAGAAAGGACCTGTGTGGGTGATGGGTGGCGTAGTTAGCTTGACTGTGGAAATCACTTCACAACATGTACGCTTATGAAAGCGTCACGGGGTGCCTCTTAAATATATACAGTTTCCATCTGTCAGAAAAGAAAAAAAAGATCTGTAAAGAAAAAAAAACAAAACAGAAAGAGAATGCCTGATGAAAATATCATTTTCTTTAAGGATGTCAGAATCAGCGTGAGAGAGTGATGTCTTAGAGGTTCTCAACTGAACTTTGTGAAATCATGGTGACCGTGGGACACCCTAAAATCCCTCCGTGGTGTCCAAACTAGGGGAAGGGGACAAGGAGGTGTCCCCAAGCTTCAAACAGAGCTGTCTGCCATCATGGAGTCACCAGGGGCCCGTCAGTGACTCTCTCTCGATGGTGTGGTTTCAATTTTCTCTGGGTCCCCAGGGAAACAGGGACAGGGGGAGAAAGCCAATTTTCCCTGTCTAAAAATCTATTTTCTCATTCTTTAAACTCAGACAATGCCACCACAAAATTAATGTTTCCTTTAGCAACCGTGCCTGTTATTTCTCCAAGGCCCTCCGGGCTGCTGCTGCCGCGAGGGGAGGGAGCTTCTGAGGGCACTATTGTCGTTTTAATTCACCAGCCTGCCCTGAGCCAGATGCTGTGAAGTCACGGAAACTGCACCTGTGGGTGGCCCTCTGCACTGTCAAGATCATCCAAACCGCATGTGACGACATGTACAATGTCA